CTTAAAAATAAAATTTGAAATTGGGGGAAAAAGCAATTGTAACTTTTCCTTTGAATCATAAAATTAGATTTTAGGGAAGATAGGGGAAAGCAAGGTAGAAGCTGGAATCTAACGATTAAAAAGATTGTAAACCAATGTAGAAATAAAGCAAACAACCAGAGCATACCTAAAATGAAAGCATCTAAATAACTAGTTAGGCTTATTTTAAATTTAACTTCTTTTGTGTGAAACAACTGATAGAAATTATCCCAATTAGGGCCTCCCGGGTGGCACAGGGGTTAAGTCTCAGCACTCTGAAGCAATCCACAGTCACTACAGCGCAAGTTCTATCCCGGCCAGCTGGGGAGCTACCCACATCACCCAGCAGACCTCTCCTATTTCGCCCACTGCTCCCCTCAGCAGTGTATTTCAGTATATCTGCCTGTTCTGTTCCCCACTCTGTCTCTGGTGAGTCCCCTCACCTCTGGCCTATACTCCAGCTCTTGAATGCATAAATAAATAAAATAAATCTTAAAAAAAAAAAAAAAGAAGTTATCCCAGTTAGAACATAACTACATCAAACAGAGAAATGGCACAAGTTTCTTCTGTCAGCTCTTGCTTAATCTCCTTGACATTCTTCCCTTCCTCCCTTTGTCACATAACCTAAGCATCAACTGTGTGCCAAGCACACTTGAAGAGATGCTGGATCTCACACTCCAGGAGACTCTGCAGCAGCCAGTAACTCTAATAGTATGAGAAATGCTAAAACGGACTTTTAAATCTCAAGATGCCGTGGAAACATGGATTAAGCAAAAGAAGCCAGAAAGTTATCCCAGGAAGATATTTTAGTGGAATCCTGAGGTTGAGGAGGTCTTTAGCAAGGAATGGTGGGAATGACATTTCAGGTAGATGAAGCAAGATACACAGACTCAGCGTGAGCTGTGCATTGGGGCCCCTGCTCTGTGCCCCTAGAGAAGTCAGCAACCTTCCACCATGTGCCCCAGCCTCTTGACTAGTACACCTTAGTAAGTTGATTGTTTTCAGGGGGCAGAAGGAAACATTACCATTATCCTCATGTAGTGGGTGACTACTGCTTGTTAGAAGGAGTGAGTATTAAGTCCACTGAATCAAAGTGGAGAGTTTCAGGCTGGTATTTTGGCAAGAGAGATCTTATTTACTTACTCATAAACCCCTTAAATATTTACATATTCTTTATCTCAGAATATTATCATTCTTTTCCCATTGCAGATAGTATCTTCTTTTCAGAACTTGGTAATCTAAAATTCAAGAGAAGCACATAATCTTTTTTCTATATTCTATGCTAGTCACTTTTGTACCACCCACCCTTTCTTCTTAGCAGTTTTAAGGATTTCATTTAAGTGTTCCATTATGTTACTGTTTTCCTAAATTTCTGAGCACTGTTCACATTGGCACTTTATAGTATCTTGCTGATGTTTTAATTTCTGTGTCATACATGTTTCCTCAGTATGTATAGTGGTTACGATTCAAGAATAAGGTGTTCGGTTCATTGTATTTCTCTCTGCTACTTAGTATGTTGCTGAGCATTTAAGTTACTACTCATTGAGGTGAGGATTCCATATCTGTTCCTGTTAAGAATTGGTTGTGTGTTACCAAGGAGAAAGTAAAAAAGCTTTGTTACTATTTTTGCACTCAATAGGAAAGGTTATATAAAAAAAATTGAAGGTTTTTGGTAATATATTTCTTCAACTTTGAGGTATAATTGACAGTAAAATTGGAAAGTATTTAATATGTTCATGTCATCTGAAATTTTATATTTTCATTATAATTTCTAATATTTTTCCTCATACAATAAAAAATGTTAAGAAGTCAGAGGTAGTATTCTATTCTGAATTTGGCAGATAAGAAAAATGGAGGTTAGATAATTTTGACCACATTTGCTTTTGACAAATTTTAATGTTTCATAATTACATAGATCTTTTATGCCATATTACTATGCCTTCACTTAAAATAATGCTTCAAGTATAAATAACTGGGCATTGCATTTTGAAATAGTACTACCTAGTCACCAGTCCTTTTGGGAAGTTGTTGTAAAGATGTTAGCATTATTTTCATGGTGTGTGTGTTTAATTACAGAAAGGAATAACTAGATAAAATAAACATACTCTGGTATTGATTATGAAACCTCTTTTGTGAAAAATGAAAACTGCTTCCTTGAACAAGAACATAAACATCTTGTTTTTGTTTATTGTTGCATATTCTTATATAACTGTTTTCAGAGACTTTATAGTTGGTGATTTGGGTAAATTCAAGAAATAACATTCTTTTGCTCATATAATTTGTTGGAATTTGTTTTGAGCATGCAGTTGATTATGGCATCTGTTCTTAGTGGGTGGGGTTTCTTTAAGAGGATTTTCAAGCTGTCCTTTAGAATGCTAGATAGGTTTTGTTCTGTGGTTGCACCCCTGTGTGTCTTTTCAGTCTTAGACATTGTGACTATTACGGAACTGCTGTTCTGCATGAATAGTGACACTTGTTAGAACAACTGAAGAGAGAGTAAGACTTGGGAGCTGGGGAGTGAGGTAAAATAGTACTGTGGGTGGATTTCCACAGAAAATCCCCAAGGCACCAGACTGGATCACTGGGACATGATAGGATGACACCCATAAAATTAAAGGAGAGAATTAATAGATTTTTTCACATGAGTTTTGTAGGTAAGAATTTTATCTGTCGGGCCTCCCCTGGTGGTGCAGTGGTTGAGCGCTGGGTTGCGAGGCTGCCCGCAGCCTCTGCAGCGCCTGTTAGATCCCCAGCCACCAGCAAGGGTCCCACAAAAAAAAAAAAAAAAAATTTTATCTGTCTCTATACTTGTAAAAATTGAAGATGAGAGAACTGAGCTTGTGCCACTGGCTCAGATACTAAATTATTGGTTTAGAATTTGGACCCCATGTGTTGCTACTGCCATAACTAGATGGTTTCCTTACCACGTCATGAATGCATATAAAATCATCAGGCAAAGGAATGTTCACAGAAGACAGGTATTCAGATCTCTTTAGTATTTGTGCAGCAGCATGTTTTGAAAAATAACAAATGAAACATTTAAAACCATTTCTTAGATTGCTCCATATTTGGATGAAGTATTTGGAAGTTATCCTAAGACAATGAGGTTATCATAACATATCTCCTAAATGCTCACATTTAAAACGGCATAATTGGGCCTCCCCTGGTGGCGCAGCAGTTGAGCGCTGGGCTGCAAAGCTGCCCACAGCCTCTGCAGCACCGGTTCGATCCCCGGCCACTGGCAAGGGTCCCACATGGCGTGTCAGACTTCTCCTGCCGTGCCCGCTGCTCCCCTCAGCAGTGTATTTCATCAGTCTGCCTATTCTGTTCCCTGCTCTGGCTCTGGTGAATTCTCTCACCCTCCCATGCTTCTGACTGTACCCAGTGCTTGTATGAATAAATAAATTTTTAAAAAATAAATAAATAAAACGGCATAATTATCTGTGAAATAGATATCACTGAAAGTAAACAGTCTGTTTCAGGATTTCAAGGTTGCCTAATTCCTTGACTATCTTTCAGTAGTTGACTGCTAAAATTGTGACATGGAATTTTCTTCCCCTCGGTTTAATTTGAGAAAGAACTAAAGTTTCAAAGTATGGAAATTCTTTAAGGAAAGGAAGGGATAAGTTGTAAACAACACCCATCATGACAAATCATGAAGTCATTTCCCTCCATTATTATGTATTGAGAGACCTTTGGTAGCAACTGTGTACTCATTGCAATCCCTCGCCATATAAGAGAATTTGGGGACAAGATGCTGCGTAAGTGGAAATAATAGGTGTACTACTTCTCTGAAGTTAATGGCATCCCTACATTTTATAGTTTAAGTAGTGTGAACATTTAATTTCTTTTGTTAGTGTGCTGTGGTAAGCTAACATTTCTCCACTTGTGTCATCTTTATATACTTCGATTCTACTTATTTGTTATTGCTCACAGGCTACACAGCCCCGCCCCCAGGCTACACAGCATTGGCAATGACTGTGGAGTCATATGACTGCCATCCTCTGGCACTGCACACCTGCAGTTTTCAAACTTAGCTTTTATCATGTCTTTACCCCTTAGAGACTACCCTGCCCTCTCATTCAAACCTATTGTCAATGTGAGAGTGGGCGATGGGAAGAGCAGCCAGTGACTGCTGCTTGTAATTTGCAGAGTACCAGAACTAAGATGACCATATTTTGCAGAATGGAAAATTGAGGCACGTGTCCTAACAAACTTAAATGTACTTATGGGTATTTAAAACAGAATAATGACCATGTGATTAGTAATCCCGAGAGTTAGTGTAGGTGTTCCTTATGTATTTTATTAGACAGGTGAATATATTGAATTAATACATGTATGCTAATGTGTGATTGTAGAATAATTTTTACCAGTAAATGTATATTAGAGGAATAATCTAGTTTTATGTTATTTTAAATATTTAGATTTGCAGTGGACAAATGGAACTTTTCTAATTTTCCTTAGACATTTATTAAGAAATGTATTCAGTTATACTTGAATTTCAACAGCACCACTTGGTAACAATCAAAGGTTAGCTTGGCTTCTCATTTTCTTCAGGCATTTCTCATTTGGTGGTGGTGGTGGCATCAAGTAGGGTGTGGAAAGTTGAACAAGTCAGATGAATGAGCAAAAGTCAGGGATAGATCTGTCACCTGGGTTCTGGGTTTTCTTGTTTGCCTTTTCTTCTGACCTACACTGGACATTTTCAGTCTTTCATTTTTGTCAGTCTATAAAATGAAAGAGAATTTTTGCATTACAGGCAACATTTTAGTGCTGTTTCTCCCTTAGGATACGGGTTCCAGCTCATTGTATTGCCCTTTGTGAATGCATTCACAGCTCTGCTGGCAGTGAACTGCTTGAAGTGCTTTAGGGTCTATAGAGTAGTAAGAAAACCATTGAGCACTTTAATCAAGACTTGATTGATTTTATTTATCTCTACCTGAGAAAAAATTAATGTGTGGGTTTTTTTCTTTGCTCTTTAGTTGCTGATCATCTGGGCTGCGATCCACAAACCCGGTTCTTTGTCCCTCCGAATATCAAACAGTGGATTGCCTTGCTGCAGAGGGGAAATTGCACATTTAAAGAGAAAATATCACGGGCTGCTTTCCATAATGCAGTTGCTGTAGTCATTTACAATAATAAATCCAAAGAGGAGCCAGTCACCATGACTCACCCAGGTAAACAAAAAAAGGGAGTGGATATGTTTATAGATTTTTTTTCCTCCTAGAAATTCCTTATCATTCTCAACGTAATTCTGTGATTATATTTAATTTTGGTTTTACCATCTGTCAAGATGCATGTATTTTTCTTTTAATTGAATTTTTTCTTTTTCTTAAATGGCCATAATAGTGTAAAACTTGCATTTACTAAGTAACTGGCTGTGATTGAATCCTTAAATTTTTTTTTATTTCTACATGTCTCTTGGTACTTTGAAAATTAATATAGTTGATTTTGAGTCATTTGTTTAGATTATGTCATGGATTCTGAAGGGTAACCTATTTGAAAAGGATGTTTTTTTGTCTTACCAGGATAATTGTTGAAACTGACTCAGTGATTAGTATAATTATAATAGTAATAATATTCCTTCATTTTTTGTGAAAATTTAGAATATTTCGAATGTAACTATTTTAATAACAATAGTTGCAATTTATTGAGCACTTACTATTAGCAATTTTTGGTTTTTGTTTAAAAGACTTTATTTTTTAGAGCAGTTTTAGGTTCCTAGAAAAATTGTGTAGAAGGTACAGAGATTTCCCATATATACCCTACCCTGACTAATGTACAACCTCCCCCATTATCAGTATCCCCCACCAGAGTGATACATTTGTTACAGCTGAACCTGCATTGATTCATCTTCATCATCACCTAAAGTCCATAGTTCACATTGGGGTTCCCTTTTGGTGGTGTACATTTTGTGGGTTTGAACAAATGTATAATATGTATCCATCATTGTGGTATCATTCAGCATATTTTCACTGCCCAGAAATTCTCTCTGTTCTACCTGTTCTTCCTCCCCTCTCCCTGCTGCCCCTGGAAAACCTTGACCTTTTTTATTGTCTCCACAGTTTTCCCTTCTCCAGAATGTCTTATGATTAGGATTGTACAGTATGTTGCTTTTTCATACTGTCTTCTTCCACTTAGTGTTACCTATTTAAGTTTCTCATATGTATCTTCATTACTTGATAGTTCATTTCTTTTGAATGCTGAATAAAATTTCATTGTCAGAATGTACCATAATTTATCCATTCACCTACTAAAGGACATCTTTGCTGTTTCAAAGTTTCAGCAGTTATAGATAAAACTGCTGTACACATCCACTTTCAGGTTATTGTGTGGGCATAAGTTTTCAACTCCTTTTAGGTAAATACCAAGGAGCAAAGAGTGTGTTGCGTTTTGTAGGAAATTGCTCTCTGTCTTCTAAAGGGACTGTATCATTTTGGTTTCCCAGCAGCAGTAAATGAAAGTTCTCGTCACTTTACATCTTCAGCAGCATTTGGTGTACTCATTTTTCTGGATTTGGGTCATTCTAATAGGTTTCTTTTAATTTTTTTTCCTCTTATGACATTTGATTTGGAGAAGCCTTTTAATATATATTTTCTTAGACAGTCCTCACTGTAACCACATTTGGGTAGGTAATCTCCCATTTATAAATCAACAGGAGATTGTAGCAGACAGGTATCAGCAGAAGAGGGGCTCAGAACTTTCACTGTGTAATTAATTTTGACATAATCATTTTGTAGACAGTTATCTTGTAAACACCTGCTCATCCTGAGGGTCATTCAGGTGTGTTTTTCCCACACCAACTTCCCTTATATCCTTTTGAACTTTTTTCCCTCCTCCTTTAACCTCAGAAACCTCACTTCATTTATTGTCTGCTAGTTTTTATGAGCATTTTACTTTGTTGAATCACCCTCTATGTAAATGTTCAATATTTGTCTTTGTCATTCTGACTTGCTGTGCATAATTCCCTAAAACACCTTCCATTTTTATGTAAGTGGATGCATTTCAACTTTTCTTACTGCTGAATAGTATTCCACTGTGTGGATATACCATATCTTCTTGATCCAAGCCTCAACTAGTGGGCACTTAGGTTGTTTCCATGTCTTAGCTATTATTGAGAATGATGCAGCAAACTTTGTATTGAATAGAACATATGATTTTGAGTTGATGGTTTGTGTTCTTTGGAAAAATGCCTAACTGTGGGATTGTTGGGTCATGGTATTTCCATTTTCGGTTTTTTGAGGGAAATCCACATTACTTTCTGAAATAGCTAGACCAGTTTTTATTCCCACCAACAGTGTAATAGGGGTCCTCTTTCTCTGCATCCTCTCCCGCACTTGTTGGGAGTCTTTTTAATAAGTGCCCTTCTCATGGATGTGAGATGATATCTCATTGCAATTTTGACTTGTATCTCCTTTATCAAAAGTGATAATTAATATTTTTCCTTTTATCTATTTGCCTTCTAGATATCTCTTTGGTGAGTTATCAGTTCAAACCTGCTGCCCCTTTATTAATTGGTTTCTTTGGTTTTTCATTGTTAAATACATTTTTTATATATCTTTGCTGTTAACCCTTTGTCAGTTGTGTAATGTTTAAAAACTTACACTAATACAGTGAGATGTCTTTTCAATCTCTGTTCTCTTTCACTGTGAAAATAATTTTTTAATTGAAGAAATTCCAGTTGTTTATTTTTGCTTTAATTTCTCTTGCCATAGGAGTCAAATCTCCAAAACCATTTTTATCATTGATGTCATGACATGTATTGCCAATGTTTTCTTCAGTGTGTTTTATTGTTGTAGGGCTTATATCTAAGTCTTTAAACCATTTTGAATTTAATTTTTTTAATGGAGTTGAGAGTGATCCAACTTTATTCTTCCACATGTGGCTGTCCAGTTTTCCCAGCACATTTTAAAGAGACTCTCTTTTACCCATTGATGGTTGTGGTTCTGTATCATGAATCAAGTATTGATATATACATGCATTTATTGCTGGGTTTTCAGTTCTGTTCCTCTGACCTCTATATTAGTTTTTACGTCAGCCCCATATTGCTTTAATAATTGTTGCTTTATAATATAGTTATTTAGAGTCAGGTAACATAGTACCTCCGTTTCCTTTATCCTCAGGATTGCTTTTGCTACTTAAGACCTTTTATGGTTCCATAAATTTTAATATTTTTGTTCAATTTTTTTGAATAATACTGTTGGTATTTTCATTGGGATTATATAGCAATTTATATATTGCTATCAAAAAAGCATGGACTCTCTTTCCATTTCCATGTGTTATGATCTGATTCCTTTACCAGTGTTTTGTAGTTTGTATTGTGCAAGTCCTTCACCTCTTTGGTTAAGTTAATTCCTAGGTATTCTTTTGTGTATATTTTGGTAAAATAATGTAGATGAGGTGGGTTTTTTTTTTTTTCGCTGTGATTTGTTTTCCTCCTTTCAAATTAAGCCTTTTACAACTAAAAATTTTTTTGGTTGCAAATGTAGCACAATTATTATAGAAAAACTGAAACTAAAGAAAAGCACAAATAATAAAACAAAGGGTTTGTGATTTTTACTGTTATTAAAAGCCCTGCAACTTTTTATTTCTTCAGGGAAAGCAAAAGGAAATTAAGGAGCAGTAATTTAGCTGGACATCTATGTGAGAACACTGGGTTTAAAATAGTGTTTTTTCTGCTTTGGTAGCAGAGTAGATACCAGTTTGCAATCCTTAGCTGTCTTGGAGGAAAAACTGTTGGAAATTTTGAACATAGTCATTACATACTGATTTCTTTTTAATAAAAACCAAAACATGAAAAAAATGGAGGAGAAATTCAACCAAGCAAAATGTATTTTTTTCTTCCCTCATGATGTTGTTTTATATGCACAATACTACTTAGAAAGTATCTGGGATGAGAGTCTTAAGTATGGGAAGAACTGGAGATCATAAGAAACAGATTCTAAAAAATTTTTTAATAAAATGACTGATTCCCTGTCTGTGTCCTTGAAATGTTTATTCAGATATGTTCATAAATGACCCATGGAGGACATGTGTCCTACTTTTAGAGATTCCTGGTAAACATATTGCGATCTCTGAGAGTAAAGAACTTGTTTTACTTTGATTAACTTTTGGTTTCCCAAGTTTATTTGACCATGTAACTTTTTATCACAGTTAAGGTTATAGCAACACAAACAAGGAAATTTAGGCAACAAGTTTAAGGATCCATTCTTAGGGAATGAAATCTTAGTAAGGCAAATGGAATGAAAGTATACATGAAAGCTGTAGAAGATAGCTTTATATTGTAATTAGCAAATAGAACATTAGTATAATGTGGGGAAGTAAATTAGTACAATATTTTAGAGAGAAAGTTGGCATTATTTGATATTATTAGAGACTATACATGTGATCCGGTATTTTCAGGCTGAGGTACACAGGCTATGGTACATTTCCAACTCTAATTTATGTATAGATCACCTGGGAATCGTGCAGATTCTGAATCAGTAGGTCTGAAGTACAACCTGAGATCCTGTATTTTTAACAAATTTCCAGATGGTATTGGCCCATAAACTTTACTTTGAGAAAAAAAGAAGACTAGAACCTGAGGTTTTGGTCCCAGACTTGCTGTGACATAGTTCAAGTTAATCCCTGTGTGGGAAGACCTCTTCTTACTCTAAATCTAGACTCTCTGGAAGACCAGGAATTCCTATTGTGGAGAACAACCACTATGTGCCCTTTTTATGAGCCATCCCACATCCTATCTCCAATAATCTGCAAGCCAATTGGAGGTTTGTGTAATTACACAAGCATTAATAGCCCCTGTCTCTCATTTTTCCAGACTCTTGTTACGCTTGCGAGGGAAATACACACAGAAGTATTCATTATAGCATTGTAGCAGTGAATTATTGGAAATACGAGTGTGTCCGTCACAGGAGAATGGATTGTGACATATTTATATAGCAGTTGACTGTGAATGAACTAATGCCACATGCATTTACATGAATAAATCCCAAAAACATAATAATGAGTAAAAGAAAAAGTAAGTTGTAGAAGAATATATATAATCAAATATTATTTGAATAAAAGAAATGCAAAACCTTACTTGCTTTATAAATATGCATGTTGGTATTAAATAATAAAAACATACCAAATTTAAGCAAATGAGAAGTTTCAAACATCTATAGTGTTTCATTTCTTA